ATAACCTAATGACATACTGTTTATTTGTATATCTATTATATTCCTAAAATATGGTGAAATTTATAAAATTTGGTAAAATGTGGTGAAATCATGTTGTTTTCTGAAAGCTATCTAGTGATCGTGTAGAAGAAGATGTCTGGGGAGAAAAGACAAGAAGGCCAACTGTGTAATGTAATAGTTTCCAAACCTGAAATCATTTGGTGGTCTGGGTGCTTTATGAGTGAACAGGTACAGAGATGCTCCCCCTAATATTTCATCTCAGTAGGTGTATTATAAAAGCTTAGAATCTGTGTGGTCTTGGGACTTTGGTAAAAAAGGTTTTAAAACCACTTATGCGTATCACCTGCTCTTCTTCCTTAGAGAATGCTCATTCAGGTATAAAAGCTGATGGCAATCGCTTGGGATTCACCTTGTTCTTAGTGTTCTCTCTCTTCAATAAGCTAGCATTTTTTTCCAAATTCTTAGGTATTCATAAAGTGAAAACAAAGGTCAAAATACATAGAAAAAATAATTATAAAAATAATCCAAATCATACAAAAAATTTGATTCAAGTTTTTGACTCACAGTTGCCATAGCTTTGTATTATTCTAGGGATTGTCTTTGGATAGATACCTACTTTTCAGCTTAAAAGAGCTAACATAACTTCTAAGACCCTTGGAGTTAAGTTGTCAGTTCCTAGATCCTGATCTATTTCTACTAGAAACTCCAGCTTTCAATGGTAAAGTACAGAAAAATCTCCTGGAATACAGTTATTGGTCAAAGTGGATTCCTATTGCAAAATGTATATATGAAAATAAAATTATGAGATGCATATAGAAGAGGATTTACTCAACCAACAAACACATATTTGTTGATAATCAGCTATGTTGTGGACATAGGCATTGTGGCTAGAAAAGCTATATCGAACAACATAAACGGCCACTGTTAAGAGGGGAGGATTCCAGAATTTTAGATGGAAATAATATATCTGCCCCATGTGATTCAGATCTAGAGATAAGCAGACAATATTGAGAAAATGTAGAGTACTCAAAATCAACAATACACTTACAGCGGAGGTTATCTTGACACTTCACGGAATTCTTTCAGAAAACTTGAGAGTGAAAATTAGGACATTTTATCTTTCCCTGAAAGAGAACTATGAGCTTAGTGTAACAATAACTTTGGAAAGTTCGTGTGAAGTTCAACATGTATAAATAAGATATCCTCTAATGGCTTGCAACCTGGAAAGAAAAAAACTCTGAACTCATATAGTGTATATGCCATGGTAATTTTTAAATTTAGCAAAAATATTTTAGCATTTTACTGCATGATTGAAAAAGTACTTTTCATTTGACCTACTTTGCGCAACTCATATTTTTCTTACATATTTTCTTTGGAGCTTTGCAGTGTTTTAATGTCATATATCTACCTTTCTGTATTTATTTTTCTCCAAAAATCAAAAAGGTTTATCCTGTACAAGAAGTCTCTTTGATGAAGTCTCCAGTCAAATGTTTTATTCCATTCCTATAATCAGTTTGCTTATAATTAAATTTTAACAGTTCTTTATACATTTTGGATACAAGTCCATTATCAAATATGTAATTTGCAAACATTATTTCTCAGTCTTCAGCCTTTTTCATTTCCTAAACAGTGTTTTCAGAAGAGCTAAATGTTACAATTTTATGTAGTCAAATTTTTCATACATTTCTTTAAAATATTGTATTTTGGTGATATAGCTACAAAGTTTTTGCCTACATAAAGATCAAAACAACTTATCCTTGGTTGGCTTACTGAAGTTTTATAATTTGGGGTTTTACATTTAGGTCTATGACATATTTTGAATTTTTTTTCTTGGTGGTACGAGCAATGTATCAAAGTTAATTATTTTTTGTATATTAATATCCACTATATGAAATGACTCTTATTTTTTCATTGAATTACTTTCGTACTTTTGTTAAAAACCAGTTGTCATTTTATGAGTTGGTTTATTTCTAGATCTCTATTTTGTTCTCTTGATTTATTTGTTGATTTTTATGTCAATCTCATATTCTGGGTAATTGTGGTTTTAAAATATGTCTCAAAATTAAACTTTCTTGGTCTTTCAACTTTGTTCCTTCCAAAGTTGTTTTGGCTATTCTTTATAGCTATGGATCAATTTGAGAATTGACATCTTAACCATACTGAGTCTTCCAACCAATGAACAAGCTATATTTCTCCACTTATTTAGATGTTCTGTAATTTTCACTGTATAAGTTTGGCATTTATCGTATTTATGTCTAAGTATTTCATATTGTTTTAAGCTATTATACTGCTGTCTTAATTTCTAATTTCAATTTTTTTATCATTAGTACATAGAAAAGAAATTCACTTTTGTATGTTTTTATCTCATATATCTCAAACTTGATAAAATCAAGTATTAGTTACCATGACTTTTATTTTTATATATTTCATTTAATTGTCTACACAGAAAAGGGTCATCTGTGAAAAACGATATTTTGCTTCTTCCTTTCTAACTGAGTAATTTTGATTTCCTTTTTCTTTGCTTATGGCATTGGCTACAACTTCCAGCCCAATGTAAAAATAATTGATAGGAGTGGACGTCTTTTTCTTCTTCCTAATCTTAGCAGTAAATAATTCAATCTCCCATGATTTAATATGATGTTAGCTATATGAGTTTTTGTAGATGTCTTTCATTCCACAAAGAAACTTCCCTTCTGTTCCTGTTGCTGAGAATTTTTAATGGAAATTAATGTTGGATTTTCAATCTCTACCTATTGAGATTATCTCATAGGTATTCTTGTCCAGTTGGTAAATAAAATGAATTAAATTAATTGCCTCTGAATGTTAAATCCGCTTGCATTCCTGAGGTAATTCACACTTAGTCATCATATTTTATCGTTTCTTTTTCTTTTTTTTTTTCATATGGAATCTCGCTCTTGTTGCCCAGGCTGGAGTGCAGTGGTGTGATCTCTGCTCACTACAGCCTCCACTTCCTGGGTTCATGTAATTCTCCTGCCTCGGCCTCCCAAGAAGCTGGGATTACAGGTGCCCGCCACTATGCCTGACTAATTTTTGTATATTTAGTTGAGTATATTTCTCATGTTGGCCAGACTGGTTTTGAACTCATGAACCCAGGTAGCCTGCCCGCCTCAGCCTCCCAAAGTGCTAGGATTACAGGCATGAGCCACTGCGCCCAGCCTACTTTTTCTAATCTTGGTTGAATTTGATTTAACATTTTGTTAAGAACATTTTTGTCTATGTTTATGATCGATATTATCCTGAAATTTTCATTTAAAGTCTTTTCCTCATTTTGATATAAAGATGATGCTAGCCTTCTAGAATACGCTGAGAAGAAATTTCCTTATGTTTAATTTTCTGGAAGAGATTATGTAAAAGTGGTATCATTTATTCTTTAAATATTTGGTAGAATCCACCAGTAATGTTATATGGCTCTGGAATTTTTGTTTTGGAAAAGTTTTCAGCTACAAATTCAATTTCTTCATTTCATAATCGGCTATCAGATTATCTGTGTGTGCATGTGTTTCATTTTAAGTGAACTGTGGTAGTTTGTGTGATTCAAAGAATTCCCCCATTTCATCTAAGTTGTTGAATAGTGACATAAATTTGGTCACAATATTCTCTGCTTTTTCAGCTTCAAGATCATCCCTTTAAAAGCTTCTATCTGGTTCTGAATCTGAGACTCAGTAAACCTCATTTTTATTTTGCCAGCTTACCTTCCTATCAGGATCTGCCAATAGAGGGCACTAGAAAGAAACTACAGCAGCAGGAAGAAGGCTTTGCTGTGATTATATATGCCTACTTGTTTTCTGGTCCTGTCAATAACATCCACCAAAATTTCTTTACAGTGGCAGTTGATTCCACCCTATGTTTCCCCCAGTACTTACTAAACCAGATTTGAACCCTGTCAGAGACACCAACAGCAACTGACTGATGTGTGCTTCTCAGCGGTCTGTATGACCGAACCATAGGGCACTTCCTCTGATCTTAGCAGCAGCAGTCAAAGATCTGAATTTCGTTTCCAGAGAAGCCCTGCTCCAAGTTGCTAAGTTCTAATAATTGAGAACTCTTCCACGGCTAGTGCTGCTCCCTACAGATGTTACCTCATTGACCCCTCAGTGTTGTTCCCAATTTGTCTTCTGAATTCTTCAATCTCTAGTTAACAATTATTTGTAATGAATTACATTTCTTACATTCACTGAGATGGTTTTTGTATTCTACCTGTACCCTAGTTAATGTAATAACTATGTATTTATTTCTACTTTATTCAAATTTTTGTTACTTTCATTTTTTACAGTTGAATTAGTTGCCAAAGGAAGTCTAAGCAAAGTAAAACTATTTTATTTTGTTCAAATATGTCTGATATTTCCACTTCCAGGCAAGGAAAGAAATGGTTTGACATTTTTCAAACTTTTGTTTCTAATATGGCACATAAGGCAAATCTATTGAAAAATAACAAGAAAGAGTAAAAATGATTAAGCACCCTTGTTTTATTAGTCTTGGTAAAGCACAGGCTAGACAACAGACATACTTTAATGTCCTCAATGTTAGAATTTACGATTGTATTAAATCAGACTCCCGAATTATTCATGAAATTTGATTTGAGGACTAAGGAATGATGAGAAAAAAGAACCACAATTGACATGGTTTGATTGCATCTAATTTCCAGGTGATGACCATGAATTTGCTTATATTTGTAAGATCATTGCAAAATCGTTGGTATTTATTGCTTTTCTTAGCAATTTGGGATTTTAGAAAATAAAAAGGTAGCTTTATAACATTTGTGTTTCCTACTCTAGTATTGTGTAGTATGTTGCTTGGAATCTAGGAGTAGGAGTGTTTGATATGGCAAATATATAGCTTGAGACACATATTTTTTTTCCTAGAGATCATAACACCCTTGTTTTTTCCCTAAGTCTCCTAAATATACTCATATCAACCATGTCACATCATGTTAGATGTTCCTGGATAATTTCACTTTCATTAAGAAACTGTAGGGTCGCGCAGGGGGGGAGGGGATGTCGGTCAGTGCGAGATCCGCTGCTGCTGAGGAGAGGAGCGTCAACAGCAGCACCATGGTAGCTCAACAGAAGAACCTTGAAGGCTATGTGGGATTTGCCAATCTCCCAAATCAAGTATACAGAAAATCAGTGAAGAGAGGTTTTGAATTCACGCTTATGGTAGTGGGTGAATCTGGACTGGGAAAGTCGACATTAATCAACTCATTGTTCCTCACAGATTTGTACTCTCCAGAGTATCCAGGTCCTTCTCATAGAATTAAAAAGACTGTACAGGTGGAACAATCCAAAGTTTTAATCAAAGAAGGTGGTGTTCAGTTGCTGCTCACAATAGTTGATACCCCAGGATTTGGAGATGCAGTGGATAATAGTAATTGCTGGCAGCCTGTTATCGACTACATTGATAGTAAATTTGAGGACTACCTAAATGCAGAATCTCGAGTGAACAGACGCCAGATGCCTGATAATAGGGTGCAGTGTTGTTTATACTTCATTGCTCCTTCAGGACATGGACTTAAACCATTGGATATTGAGTTTATGAAGCGTTTGCATGAAAAAGTGAATATCATCCCACTTATTGCCAAAGCAGACACACTCACACCAGAGGAATGCCAACAGTTTAAAAAACAGATAATGAAAGAAATCCAAGAACATAAAATTAAAATATATGAATTTCCAGAAACAGATGATGAAGAAGAAAATAAACTTGTTAAAAAGATAAAGGACCGTTTACCTCTTGCTGTGGTAGGTAGTAATACTATCATTGAAGTTAATGGCAAAAGGGTCAGAGGAAGGCAGTATCCTTGGGGTGTTGCTGAAGTTGAAAATGGTGAACATTGTGATTTTACAATTTTAAGAAATATGTTGATAAGAACACACATGCAGGACTTGAAAGATGTTACTAATAATGTTCACTATGAGAACTACAGAAGCAGAAAACTGGCAGCTGTGACTTATAATGGAGTTGATAACAACAAGAATAAGGGGCAGCTCACTAAGAGCCCTCTGGCACAAATGGAAGAAGAAAGAAGGGAGCATGTAGCTAAAATGAAGAAGATGGAGATGGAGATGGAGCAGGTGTTTGAGATGAAGGTCAAGGAAAAAGTTCAAAAACTGAAGGACTCTGAAGCTGAGCTCCAGCGGCGCCATGAGCAAATGAAAAAGAATTTGGAAGCACAGCACAAAGAATTAGAGGAAAAACGTCGTCAGTTTGAGGATGAGAAAGCAAACTGGGAAGCTCAACAGCGTATTTTAGAACAACAGAACTCTTCAAGAACCTTGGAAAAGAACAAGAAGAAAGGGAAGATCTTTTAAACTCTCTATTGACCACCAGTTACCTATTAGTTGCCAGTATGCCAGCTTGGACATCAGTGTTTGTTGGATCCGTTTGACCAATTTGCACCAGTTTTATCCATAATGATGGATTTAACAGCATGACAAAAATTATTATTTTTTGTTGTTGTTCTTGATGGAGATTAAGATGCCTTGAATTGTCTAGGGTATTGTGTACTTAGAAAGTAACAGCTCTAAGTACCTTTCCTACGTTTTCTTTTTCTTTTTTTATTAAACAGATATCTTCAGTTTAATGCAAGAGAACATTTTACTGTTGTACAATCATGTTCTGGTGGTTTGATTGTTTACAGGATATTCCAAAATAAAAGGACTCTGGAAGGTTTTCATTGAGGATGAATTGCCATAATATGATGCAAACTATGCTTCTCTATGATAATTATAATACAAAGGTTCCATTCAGTGCAGCATATACAATAATGTAATTTAGTCTAACACAGTTGACCCTATTTTTTGACACTTCCATTGTTTAAAAATACACATGGAAAAAAAAAAACCCTATATGCTTACAGTGCACCTAGAGCTTTTTTATAACAACCTCTTTTTGTTTGTTTGTTTTGGATTCTTTAAATATATATTATTCTCATTTAGTGCCCTCTTTAGCCAGAATCTCATTACTGCTTCATTTTTTGTAATAAACATTTAATTTAGATATTTTCCATATATTGGCCCTGCTAAAATAGAATATAGCATCTTTCATATGGTAGGAACCAACAAGGAAACTTTCCTTTAACTCCCTTTTTACACTTTATGGTAAGTAGCAGGGGGAAAAATGCATTTATAGATCATTTCTAGGCAAAATTGTGAAGCTAATGACCAACCTGTTTCTACCTATATGCAGTCTCTTTATTTTACTAGAAATGGGAATCATGGCCTCTTGAAGAGAAAAAAGTCACCATTTTGCATTTAGCTGTATTCATATATTGCATTTCTGTATTTTTTGTTTGTATTGTAAAAAATTCACATAATAAATGATGTTGTGATGTAATGGAGTGTGGGGTCTTAAATATTCCACAATTGATGTACAAAAGTAGACTATGGAAAGAAACTTTTCAACTTGAATTTGCCTCCTCTATAATGACATCTCTTATATGCTTGTCTTATTTAGAATGCATATGTGCTGATTTTCTAATTTAAGAAATACCATATCTCTCTATTCATTTCTGTCTCTCATTTGTATGCTTACTTTTCTGAGAACATTTTTTTTTTTTTNAAACTGTATTGAAGCCTATATCCTCAAAAGTGTATGCAACTGCTTCTGTCTCAACAATAGGTAAACTGGCTGAACATTGCAGATTAACTTTGGAGGATCATCACTGTTATTTGAAAGAAATTCTATATTGCTATAAAATTGGATTGGAAACTGCTTTAGCTTAGCTGCAAAACCAGGGCTAAAACTCAGGGCTGAAAATATTACAGTGCTGATTCATCACCTGAGCAGAGAAGAAATCATAAACATTTATAGTTTACTTCTCATAAGCCTTTGATTCCATCATCTCCCACTTGTAGACTGGTAATACTGTTGTGACAGAAACAAATATACTCGTTGAAAGTTACATACTTATTGAAAAGTCTTTCTAAGAAAACTTTCAGCAGTAACAATGGCATTGCTTCTATTCTGCATGAGAATTCATATACAAAGCTCAGTTTGTATCATTCATACCTAGCATTTGCTGATCTGTGTTATTTGTTCCATCCCAGATACAATCTGTATTCTCCCCTGCCTATAGCAGGATTGTATCATGTCTCTTTATACCATTGTCACTTTTAATATGGCTCTTATATGGTAGGTGCTCAAATATATTTTGAATGATAATGATATTGAACATTTTAGGCATGAATATAGCTCATTTATTGCCACCATCGATTTATTCAAACTAAAAATTACTAGGATGAGGTTTCCTAAAAATTCCTTAAGGACGAATGGGACAAATTAAAGATAGAGCTTTCAAATTTCTTTAGAATTTGACCCACTGTTCCCTAGCAAGGTTTTTAAAAATTAATGTTAACACAACAAACACAGCTATAAAAAACAGCTTTTCTTTTTCAAAGTCATGAATTTATATGTAATGAGAGAGTCAAATGCAACTACTTCTTTCAGAAAAAAAGATATTTTAGGATGTATATCACTGTACAATTTATAATTCATTGCTCTGTATCTGATTGAAGAATTTGTATTTATTTGTAATTATTCTGATTTGGGGAGGCATCAATGAGAAAAACACCAGCCATTATATACTATTTGTGTTTCATTATCTTTTTAAATACCTTTCTCATTTCTGTTTCATTATTTTTTCATTTCCCATTATTTCATTTTGTGTGCATTCATGCTCATTTTCTCCAACTAAATGCATCTATCATGTCATTCAAGGCTTCAAAGTTTGATTAACACTTCTATTTATATTCAAGATGATTATTATTAATATATGTAGATCCAAGTGACAATGTGGTTACTGTTATCAATATCATTGTTGTCATTAAATATTTAGTGTCGTCTGGAGATACCAAGAGTACCAGACTAATAATAGATATATTCCTTACTAGTGTCATAAAGTAGCTTCCAATCTGTTTGAGAGATCCAAATGACATAATAATAATTGTTCATATTTATTGAAAATATACTATGTATCAGAAACAAATTTAACAATAGTTTTGTATTCATGTATACCTCACAAAACTCTACTAGATGGATATTGTTATTCCCATGTTACAAACTCAGAGGTCTAAAGGATCAAAGAAAGGAAGTAAAATGCTCCAGTAGACACAGGCAATAAATAATAGAGGCAAGATTTGAGCCCAGGCAGCCTGGTGCAAGAGCACTAATTTTGACAATGAATCAGATTGCACTAAAAGACACATAAATATACATTTTCCTAAGGTCTTTATGGTTTAATATAAAGTAATAAGTCATCAGAGATTTGGTAAATCTTTGTGAATGTGCTTCTGGATTTCTCATGATTTTAATTGTTTTATTTCCTTGTTTAATATGGGCAAACAGAGGAAATAAAGAAAACCTAAATTTATTTTCCTGCTAGTTGTAATGTCAGAAAGATCCAGTCACATATTTCTAAAAAAGAGTATGTTCAAGGGTTGCAAAGTAATTAAAAACTCTAAGTTAGCTGTAGGATAGAAAAATGCATCTGTTTTTGGCTTTCATGAATGCATCCTTCATTTTATGTAAAGAAAATGTGCAATGCACTCAGAAATAAAGAAATGAGGAAAGAGTACATTATATAGAAAGTGTATTGGCTGGGCACCATGGCTCAAGCCTGTAAACCCAGCACTTTAGGAGGCCGATGTGGGTGGATCACCTTAGGTCAGAGTTCGAGACCAGTCTGGCCAACATGACAAAACCCTGTCTCTACTAAAAATACAAAAATTATCCGGATGTGGTGGCAGGTGCCTGTAATCCCAGCTACTCAGGAGGCTAAGGCAGGAGAATTGCTTGAACCTGGGAGGTGGAGATTGAAGTGAGCCAAGATCTCACAACTGCACTCCAGCCTGGGTGACAGAGTGAAACTCAGTCTCAAAAGAAAAAAAAATAGAAAGCATATCAGATTTAGAAAAAATATATTGGCAGCCCTCACAAGAAAGTTCTATTAGATTATTTTTCTGGACTGCAAGTGCTCCCCAATGTACATGTCAAGCCTCGGTAATCCCTATGCAAGTAATTTAGCCCAGTGGACTAAAATGAAGTAGTGAGTAAATAAAAACAGAAACAGAATTATTCAAATTTTAATATTTCCAAAGATATGATTCCTACTTCCCAGTATTTTTTAATAGAACAGGAATACCATTTACCATTATTAACAAAAATGAAATACTTCAAGGTTGTCAGCTCAAAACCTATTAATATTTGTGTAGTGGTTGCTATGTGTCAACATGGTACTGAACTGTTGGTTAATTTATTAATGATTAAAACTGTCAAAACAACTTTTTTACTTTTAATGAAAATTATTTTAATGGGAATTTATAGGTTAGGTGAAGTTTAATGTTCTCACCTATTCTTGACCTTGTATTAACAAGGGAAGGTGAAATTTTGCTTCTGTGTGGACCTATTGTAAAATTTTTCATTTGTCCATATTCTAGTGGATCTTATATAAACCCACATTCTGTAGTTAATGAAATCTTAAAAATGAATGTCTTTGCTTAGTGCTTAAGTTTTATTGGTAAATATTTAGAATGAACGGTACAAATTCATACATGATGGTCATTATTGTTACATGTTCTCATATGTATTACAACTCCTTGCCTAAAGAACATAGCTAAATCTTTATCCAGAAGTTGTCAGACTAGTGCCTGTGCTATTCCTGTCAAGAACAGTTTCTTTTAACATCATATTGATTCTTTATGTCACTTTATGGGCTATTCTACATATATCTGCTACAGTTCATGAAATCTTTTGCCAGTTTCCCAACCTTCAACCTTTAAACCTTTCTATATTTACTATAGACTGAATGAAATATATATATTTTCTTTTTCTTTGTATTCCAGACATTGTCCTAACCCATGTGAAATAGAAAATTAAAAGTTGTAACATTCTTTGAACTTTTTTTTTTTTTTGAGACAGAGTTTTGCTCTTGTGGCCCATGTTGGAGTGCAATGGCAGGATCTCCACTCACCACAACCTCTGCCTCCCAGGTTCAAGCAATTCTCCTGCCTCAGCCTCCCAAGTAGCTGGGGTTACAGGCATGTGCCATCACACCCAGCTAATTTTGTATTGGGTTTCTCCATGTTGGTCAGGCTCAACTCAAAGTTCCGACCTCAGGTGATCTGCCCGCCTCAGGCTCCCAAAGTGTTAGGATTACAGGTGTTAGCCACCTCGCCCAGCCCTTTGAACACTTTAATGCCCATAATTCTCCTTCCACAATCCATACTTATGAATTTTCTGCAGAATACCTTTCGCAATAGTGGGGAGAAGTTTATACAAATTCTCTTGAAATTACATTTGAAAAATAACACCTTAAATTCTGCTGAAAGACTCTCACCTTTACTAAAAGTCTTTTTTCTTCAGGTCAAACTTCTATTCTCTGGGACCACTGGTAGAAAACTTAGAAACAGAAGACCTATGCTTGCTGTCATGCTGGTGTTTTGTTTCATTTATTCTCACTAGATAACAGAACTGTAAAATAATACATTATTAAGATGACACCTAGTAGTAAGGTTGACTTCTCAATGTTATCTAGGCATATTAAAATCTAAGAAGTTTTGCATTAATAACTTTTGAAATTGTCCATAGACTAGTAAAACTAAAAAAAATCATTTTGGGATGTGTTTTTAAACCTTTAGAAAAAAATAATTCTCTTGATATTTTTGTTTTTGCCTTTAATATAATGATATTTTTCTTGTTGTTGTTCTGAGATTCTGAAGGTTTGATTAGGATACCTATCTTTAAATAAATAATTTTAATTTTAGGACAATGCAAGTTTTTTTGATAGGGATTGAAATTGTTTAAATCTGAAGCCTGGAATGTGTACTTGGTATATAGGGTCTTACAACTTTTCCTCTCGTATATGTAATTTCATAATAAATTCTTTTACAAAAATGTCTGTTAGTAGCTACTCTGAATAGAACGTTGGAACTTTTATTTACATGTATATTTTAAATAATATTTTGTTCAATAAAAATTAATTAGGCTAGTCATTTTAAACATCTTAGGGATTTAAAACTTCTACTCTTTTTGTTCAATTTATTTTTACTGAGTAAAATTACATTATCAACCAGTGAAAGTTTAATTTCTGTATATCATAAAACAAAAAATAGACTTTTATTGTTAATAAAGATTTCCCTTACTCTAAGTAGAATTGTGTCTCATCAAAAGCATACAATCCTAAATTAATTGCAATTAAATTCAGTTAAAATGATTTGAGTGCCTATCAAAGTATTTTCCTATGATTTCTTGTTTAGTTCTTATAATTTCATTAAAATGTTGGTATTTTTATCCCCATTTACCAATTAGAAGACAAGAGTTCAGGGAGATTGGAGGAG